CCGGATAAGGAAATCTCCAATAGCATTGCGAGGCAAAGAGCAATCGAAAGAGGCGAGGGTGGACCAGGCCTGCTGCGTGCGCTGTACAGGATCCCCTTCGATCTGTATGAGGAGGCTACGATGGGTGAGTTACCGCGGATGCAATCGCGAGACACAAATAGGGGTGGCACGGCGGCTATGGCTGTGTGAAAACCACACGGGTAATGAGCCTTGCTATGTCTCAAAGAGTCTAAGGAGCTTGCTGCGTCAAAGCCGTGTCTGATCTATTAACGAATGCGCTCAATGCGCCCGTCCGCTCTGCACACGCGCAGGATCTTCGGATAAGGTCTTGGTAAACTCTATTTTCACGCAAAAACAATTCGTCAAAAGCTTTTCAAGACTGCGCCGAGAGCCTCGTGTGCTTTATCCGGGCATTGACTTGTCTCTATACTCTGCAGCCAACGCCAAAAAAGGTGTCGAGGATCTTGGGGCACTTGGGACCACCTTCTCCGTCAAGAATGCGATCAGGAATATCTGCACCGGCTCGTGAGTCCGCGCATCTGAGCGGGCCGCCGCACCGCTGACAGACAACCTTCCGTCTCCTCACTGCGACCGCCAGATCGGACCATGTCACGCTCGTCTCCATCAATCGATTTGAAGCGAAGAAGAATATCTCGCTTGCCATTGAAGCATTCGCCAAAGTTCTTCAAGAAGAAAAGAAGAAGGAGAAACCACGACCTTTGCGCTTGGTCATTGCAGGGGGTCACGACCGGCGTCTTCGAGACAACGTGGCTACGCTGGATGAGCTGCAAGCCCAGGCTGCGAGACTGAAGCTGAACTGCACTACGCTCTTCTGGACGCCTCAGCCTTTTGAGCCTCCGGCTTCAGCGCCTCCTCCAAATCAACTTCACGCTCTCCAAGTCGTTTTCCTGCCCAGCTTGCCAGGTGCCCTGCTCCCCTCTCTACTTCTTGCGCCCACTACTCGAGCTTTGCTGTACACTCCGCCGGATGAGCACTTTGGCATCGTCCCGCTCGAGGCCATGGCGTGCGGCGTGCCCGTCCTGGCTGCTAACAGCGGTGGACCCGTGGAATCCATTGTCGACGCAGGTGCCTCTGACGAGGGTGGAAACTTCAGCAACCCAGAGGGGACTGGGCTGTTGAGAGCACCAAGAGCTCAAACTTGGGCTCCCGCTATCACTTCACTTCTGGACATGAGCGACTCTCAGAGAGCAAAGATGGCGCGTGCGGCCGTCGAGCGAGTGAAAAGTCGCTTCAGCTTGCAGGTGATGACGGATGGACTTGAGAAAGCACTGTTCGACACCGATGCCCAAGGTCCTTTGAACAATGCCGAGGGGCTGCTGCTTTGGGGCAGCACGTTGACGAGTGAGTCTCGTGCCGTTCACTTTCTCCAAACTTGCGCTGACCACCGCGGCCTCTCGAGCAGTCTTTGCCTTCACGATGGCTTTGTACCTCTACAAGGTCTATCAAGCACACCACGCTCCGCAGCCTGCGAGCGCGGCAGCAATGGCTTCAGTATCGGCGCTCTCTGCCAGCGCTTCTCTCAATGACGTCTTCAAGACCATAACGAGCGCATTGGGCTCTGCAGCATCAGCAGCTGCGACAGTGGCCGGCTCCGCAGCCGAA